AGCTAATAAAAGCTATCGAACTAGACCTGTACTGTCTCGTGGAGTTCTTTGGGCTGAACCTAACATCCATCCACAAATGTACTGATCATGACTTCAGAGGCCTCACCAGCTGGAATGGGCCTAACGATGCCCTTCTGCCCTCTCAGAGGAGGAACCGGGCTTCCTAGGGGTCCCTTGGAGCCAAGTGGGCCCTCTGGTCCCCCTGGTGCAGCTTCCTATCCTCCAACGTGCCACTTTATCCAATGGGCTGCTTTGCAGTCCTCTTGCTATCACGTGGGAAGAGGGCTCCTTTTGGCTTGGCCATCTTTTTCTCCTCCAGATGCCTCCGTGCCATTCAGGAACTGTGGTAGGGTCCCTTGGACTGCTTCCTGTGAGTTCCCAGCCCTGCTGTGGCTCCTGTGGTGGTTCTTCATCCCTGAAAGGGCATCACAGTTCAGGACTGCCCAAGCCTGGTGCCTCTGGCTTCCTGTCCCTGTTCCGTTGTCGTGATACATGCTGCGGACACGGAAGGGCATGCTTGGTCTGACGTTGCAGAGTTGCCGCTTCAGGGCTCCCCCAGCCCCACTTCTTGGCCAGAGGGCCTTGGGGAGGGGCAGCTCCCTCCTTCTGAGCACTGGCCCAGCGTGGCTTCCAGATGGCTCCTGTCCTGTCACCCTGCCATCTTCCCTTTCTCTGTTCCTCTTTCACTCTTGCACGTGGCACCAACTTTGGTCCTGCAGCAACAGTGCTCCTCTAGGAGGCACAGCCACACAAAAGGAGTGCTTCATGCCCCGGGGGCCGGAAGAAAGCGCTCGGCCCTGCCTACTCAGCTGAAGGACACGTGGCTTCAGCAATGGAGAGAAGTCAGCATCACCAAGGGCTCTGTAAAAGAGCTGGAAGGGGTTGGAAGCGATGTCAGAGGTCATCTCGCCCCAACCCCTGGTCAGTGCAGGATCTGTCAGGCCATTAGTGACGGATGACCATCCGGGCTCTGGCTGAAGAACTCTGGTGAAGGCAGCAGTTCCCTCGCTCAGTCACCTCCAGCCGTCACCACCCCACCCCACCCCAGGCCATCTAGAGTCACTCCAGCTTTCTCATACTATGGTCAGTAGCCTAGTTTTTGACTAAATTCATTTGCTGGGTCTACAGAATTCCTTGAACCGCAAGCTAACTAGATGAGCTGAGTTGGCCTAATGTGCAAAGCCAGAGAAGAACTTAAGCGAGGCTAAACATGGACAAATGTCTCTGTGAGGCCTTCAGCTGACCTGGAAAGGTTGCTGTGTGAACAGAGCCAGATTGTGACACTGAATGTGCACATTTTGCTCTGTTGAGAGCATCTGGAAGACGGCCTTCGTGCCTTCTTCAGGCCCAGATGCACAGGGACTCTGAGAGGCCTGACCCAGCCCTTCCTGAACAGAAGGACACAACTTTTCCAGGTTCTCAGTTGGGAAAGTTCATCAGCTCTTGAGCTCGCAAAGGCTTCTGCAGCTTTTCCACTGAACCTGAGAACTGGGGCTGGGTCCAGAGATCTCTCTGCATCTCAGAAGAGCAACTACCCTGAAATCTGGCAGAAGGCAAAGCTTCCTGATTCTGCACGAGTAGCTACGCCTGTCCAGGTTCTCCCCACCAGCCTTTCAAACTGTTTCAGATATGCCAATCTGAAATCACGTGGCAGTTTCCAAATTCAGTGTGCCGGCGGGAAAAGTGCACCTGCCTTCAGAGCACCGAACCTGGTGGAGGTTTGAAATGTCCTGCCTGTCTCCAAAGAGTTGTCAATTCCCTGCACGGGCTTCATTCTGACCTGTAATTTGTATGAGCTGCAGTCTTTTGAAGAAGGCAAAATACCCATGATCGCTAACATACGCGAGGACTAGTCTACTGTATCCCCACTATAATTTTGGCCAGGGGGAGGAGATCAGCATCAACGTAGCTCCCTCAGCTTGAAACATGGGTGATTTTTTAGCAGGCTTCCCATGCACTAAGTAGAATTGCTGCTTCATGCAGGCACCTCAATTTGTTTTACCTACCAGATCATGGCACCTGAACAGGAGGGGGTTCCTGGCATCCACGATCTGAACCACAACGTCACTGCAAAAGAGAAGGCAAGATGCGCTATCCCCCCGGGCTAAGGCACACACCTGAGCTCATCCCCATCTCACTCTCCCTGAGGACAGAGGGCTCGGGGAGGCTCTGGCATGAGGGGTCCGAGAGCGGAGCCCAGAGGCAGCATGCAGCCACCACACGCAAAGCCTGCAGGCAGGCAAATGCAGCCCAACTCCCCACCTGCTCCCAAGTCTGTTCCTTGCTGGCAGGAGCACTTCACTGCGGCCCCCGGGCTCAGCCTCGGCAAGGAGCATCCTGGCCCACAAGAAGGCTCCTTTTCAGAGCGGGCAGGCAGCAACCATTGCCCTCGCTCTGACCGGCAGCCTCTGCATCCAGGGAGAGAGCCTGCCTGACTCTGGGAGGGGGGCTGGACTGCCCCAGTCAGAGCAGGGACGGGCTGCGCTGCTAACGACCAGGCTTTGCACTGAGCTCTCCAGCTTCCTGAGGAGGGAGAGGGGGTTCTCCAGGAGATCCCAGGGAAGATCTATCTGCTTGCCAAGTAACCTCCCCACTTCCATACCGAGATCACCCCTGCAGGATGGAGAGGAGGAGACACACATTCTTCACCCGGGGAAACCAAAGTGGCCCCACTGAAGCAGCCCCATTTACTGGGAAGCTCTTCTCCAGGGGCACAGAACAAACCAGGCTCAGAAACCTCAATGACTAATCCACGTGGAGTCCCTACTCTGGCCATGCCCTCAAGAGCCAGGCAGAGAAGGAACTGGGGGTGGGGAGGCACAGCGCGTTCTTCTTACAGATAATTTGAGCAAGTGTTCCAGCTCATCGGAGCCAAGGAGAAGAAGAGGTGGAAATCAGCCCGAACCATCCTCTGCAGGCCTTCCCTGCAGGGATCTTGGGAAGCCAAGAACAACTGTCAAGCGTTACCTTCTCTCAAGGACTCTCCAGAGCTGACGCCAGAAATCCAAATTTCGTTCAAATGGGGTCAACAGGAGTTTCTCCTCTTCCTCTAGCCTGTAAGAGTGCAGGGGAAGAAATAGTCATGGGATTTTAGGAAAGCACTCTCATTCAAACATGGTTTTCTACCTACAATGACATTTTTGATTTCTTTAATGAACGCCACTACCAACTCGAGGGACATAAATCTTGCAGAATAAAAAACAGATCTGAAAGAGCAAAGAGCAACAGCTTTGATTCTCTGTCCATCATCACAGACTCTTTTGCTGCATGAGAGGGCTGACCCTAAACCCAGGAGGACACATAACCAAAATTTCTCTCCTGACTCTGACGTCTGCCAGTTTTTCCCCAGAGGTGCAACTCAGAGGGCCCCCTAACCCCCACAAGAGATGGAGGCCACAGAGAACAGGGTCTTTTCCATTGGGGAAACACTGTTGTCCATTCATTTGCTAACTTTGCCCTTGGGGCTCTGTTTCTGCCATTTCATAAAAGCTTGCTGCTATCTGAATTTTATTTAATGCTATAATTTATAGGTTTTTATTTTATTTTTAGTTGATTTCAGTTTAAAGATGGGCCATGACAAGGAAAGAACAAGCACAGGAGTAAATTTCCTTAACAGATACGATGCAATGCTTCATTTTGGCTAATCTTGTTCAACGAGCAAACCTCCTCCTGTGTGAGGCATCTGAATAGACGAAGGATATTCAAGGTATTGAGAGGACCTTGACAACACTTGCAAAACCATCTCAAAGAAGCCTCCAGCATGCTGCCATCGGCTTCTTTGTTGAGAGGGAAAAACATTTCCTTCACCCATGCCTCTTAAACTTGCTCATGTGCTTTTAACTTATGATTTGCCTTGCTGTCTGGGAATCTCTGTTTTTCACATTTGTAAACTGCTCAGACATCCTGTTACCTAAGGATATAATTAAAAAAAAAAAAGAGGTCATGAAAGGCCACTGCTGCAAACCAACATCCATTACAGCAAAATACCTACTGGCATCAGCTGTCATATAGGCATGAAGGGCGGCTGGGTGACTTTGGGCCAGTCGCTCTCTCTCAGCCCAACTCACCTCACAGGGTTGTTGTAGTTGTTGGGAAAATAGGAGGCAGGAGTATTAAGTACGTTGGCCACCCTGAGGTTGACTGGATAGAGTTCTGGGGCCTTTTCTGGCTTCACACGAAGCCTGCTAAAGATTTAAGATCACCAGACCCTTTGTTCTACATGCCTCCATTTTACAATGCTTATTGATTGGGATCTGCCTACAGCCGCCATAAGGACACTTGTTTCAATGAAAGCATTTGCCTGTTGAGAACACCATCCATGTATAATTTCTGATGCTGATTGCATTCTTCCACTTCAAGAGTTTTCCAAAATGCTCGTGGGTTGAGGACCCACCGCCCTTTTGCCCAGGTAGAAGGCAACCTTGATCTTAAGACGCTCCCTTCCAAACGGATGAGTAGACAGACAAAGAAACTTCAGCTGCCTCCATCGCTGTCTCTCCAACAAATATAAGACAACCCTCCCATTTTGAAGACAAATTACTGGGAAATATTTCATCTTTCTTTCAGTTAAATAGACTGCTTCCCAGGAGGAATTCAATAAAGGATGAACTTTTCTTTCACATTTTCATCAGCAAACTTAGAACTTTTCCCACGGTGCCAAGAGACTGACTGACTGTGGATCCAAGAGTGCTGAATATCCCTCCACCTTTCAGGACTGTGTCACCTTGGGGGGGGGGGATACCCACAGAGGGTCAGTGCATGCTGCAAGGGCTCACACGAGAACAGCTGTGAATACAAGATGAGCCTTGCGTGCTCTGCTTCCTATCTTCCCTCTGTAGTTGGAGCATCCTAACTTAGGCTGGCCAGGGGCTCCTTGCTGACTCTGTAGCCAGCACCAGGAGAGGAGACGCACCAAGCAAGCTGCCTCCTCCACCTCAGGAAGCTGTCTCTTTCAGCCTGGTTCAGCGCCGTAGGGCTTGTTTGTCTGTCCCATGCAGGCCTGGAAGAACCAAGCACAAAACGAGAAAAGAGGTTCATTAGCCTGATGAATGCAGCACAAAGAAACGTTTGCTCCAATGCAGAAAATGACCTTGGGAGAGACAATTTTAATGGGTTTTAACGGAAACCAAAAGGAACTTGCCAGAGCAGTGTTTCTCAACCGTGGCAACTTTAAGATGTGTGGACTTCAACTCCCAGAATTCCCCAGATAGCTGTGAGAATTCTGGGAGTTGAAGTCCACATATCTTAAACTTACCAAGGTTGAAAAACACTGTGCTAGAGGAAAGGCTGAAGTTCACCCAGACTAGAAAGGAAAGCCAAAGGGGCTGGGAAGTGCCCTTCTGGTTGGAGAGCCTTTCAGGCAGTTCTTCCTGCCACTCAGGGAAGACAGGGACTAACTTTTACCAGCCACCATTACTGCTTGAGAACAAACAGTTAAAAGGAACAGGGAAGGAAAGAGGAACAGAGACCAAACATTTTGTATCTATCAAAAACTCATGGGAGGACAGATTTCATAGAATCCTGCCCAAAGGGAGAAAAAAGAGCAAGTGCAAGAGCAGAAAAGCAAAACAAGTGGGGGAAATTTAGCTTGAAGAGAGCTGTCCATTTTTGACATCAGCTGCCTCCGGGAGCTGTGGAATCAGGGAATCCTAGGGCTGGAAGGACCCTTGGAGATCTTCTAGCCCAACCCCCTGCCCTATATAAAGTCCTTCCTCGGTGGCCTAAAAAAAGAGGCAGGGCAAGTTTAAGAACACGTTTGGCCTTGTTTCCCCAAGTACAAAGATTTCACCAAAAGGATTCCCTTCCTATCATCAATGCTACACCCAAGAAGTATACACAAAAGCATAGATCCATGTTAACACAACACTTTACACAGGTCAGCTCAAGAACACAAAACATCACAAACTGTCGAATTCTCAAAAATATTTAATCAGGCAAAATTGTTTTCTAAAAACCCAGAAGAAAGGGGCAGGGAAAAGATGGCTGATGCCCAAGTCATGTCTGCCATTATTCATAACTGCAGGAGGAAACAGTCTGCAGGCATGCAAAGTAGACTCTTGATTTCAAGGCTTGCTGGAATGAAGGACAGTCCACAAGCTCTCATTCTCTCAATTATTACAGTCGAAATATAAAACGAAGCTCTATACTCAAACTACTGTTCACGATTAAGCAAAACTCACAGATACCCTGATAGGGTGAAAACATACAAAATGAGACACACTTTCAACAGTTTTTACATTATCAAAGTTGTCTACGACTTTATCAAACTCACATCTAGTTGAGTGATAAAGAAACAGAGGTGTTATCACTGTGCAAGTTGATTATAACATCAGTATCAAATTTGCAAACGATCACAAAGCTGGAAAGAGGGACTAATACTTCAGAAGAAAGAGAAGATTCAACAAGATCTAGACAGGCTCGAACAGTGGGCTGGAACAAACGGGATGAAACTTAACAGGGAGAAACGTGAAGTTCTGCCTCTGGGCAGGAGAAGGAAAGGGCCCAGGTCTAGGACGAGGGAGGCGGGGGGGGGGTGAAAAAAGGAGCGGGGGAAAGA